TTGGAGAGGATGTGGTAAGAAAGGAACTCTTACACATTGTTGGTGTGATTGTAAAATGGTGTTAACTATTCTGGAAGGCAGTTTGGTGCTTCCCCGAAAAGCTGAACATAGAAATTCCATATGACCCAGCTGGTGGATTTTAACTTTAACTTCTAGACCAGGCTTGTAATGGTCATGGAGCCTCAATGCTTAGCTGTTACGAGGTGAGACGCCTAGCCACACGGAGAGGTCAGCAATGAAAGTATTGACACACCTCAGCTCATTGCTATCAAGTCAGCAATGCTGATGCGAGTCTTGACTACTCGATTACCATGCTGTTTGCTAGGTTTCTCTGGTGTAAATGTCTTGTAAGGAGATGATGTGACACTAAGCAAATGACCTGTGCTTCAAGTGATGCCATGCTTTCAAAACTACCATGGCATTCAGATGTTTTCTCACTAGCCCCGATACATAAATGGGATTGTGGGACTGTTTCTGCTGACTGTCTTGTAGATCGGTAAGAGTTTTCAGGTCTGTGTGCTGTACTTAAAGTATGAATGCTCTCAACGACATCCCTTCTTCAAGTTCATTTTTTCCCCAGATTGGAGTTTTTGAAAGGTGGATCAAATTTTGTCAGGAGAGCTCCGGGGTGTAGCCTGTGGTGTATTGCACAGCTAGCTGGATCTAATTGTGTCACTCTTCTGCTTGACCCTCTTCTGTGGCTTCCCATCACCTGTAGGGTGAGAACCCTTCTTGCCATCACCTTCAGGCTAAATCACTCTGTTCTATCTTCAAGATTTTCTTATTTGGACTGCTCTCCCAACACTCTTCTATAACTCCCTGTCTCTGTACTGACATCACCTCCTCAACATGTTTTACTTGACTACATTTCTGGTGTTTTCCAAGACCCTTGAATACCTTCTTTACTCCCCTAGGCTAGCTAACTTTTCATCACATCATTTCCCTTGGACCATGAAGCAGAACTTCTTGTGTTTGTGTAAGTTTTAACCCATTTGACTCTTGGGTTTGAGGGTGTGGACTGTGTCATGATTAGAGGTCAAGAATATCAAGCAAAATCATTTTAAGCAAAAAAAAATAAAAAAATAGTACTGTGATAGGCTACAGGGGAAAAGAATGCCAATAATCAGATCTGTATTACAAGATTATTCTCTGTATTGTCAAGTCAAAACCAACCCACAGCTGACCCTCTACCAGGTTTTCAGAAACAATAAATTGCACCAGAGGGGTTTGCCACTCCCCTGAAAAGCACTGAATTCAAACTGCAAACCTTTGCATTGGCAGCATAAGTCCCACTAAGCCACCATCAGAGCTCCCTAAAAAATGCCAGTGATCAGATCTATAAGTCAAGATAGGTGCTTGAAATGCAATGAATGTGGGAGAAACAGAGTTGAGATGGACACTGTCCTTCATGAATGCATGTGACCAGCGAAGGCTTGGGGTCTCAACTCTGGTCCTTGCTTCACGTCCCTCATCTCCATCCATGAGATAGTATTAATGCTTCCAGCAAGCACGCGGACCCGAGACTAAGTAGCGCCTTGGGCTATGCCCACTCTTTTTTTTTTTTTTTTTTATGCCCACTCTTCTTTTGATCAGTCTCTGTGTCATGGAGATTCCTCTGTTGGGCAGAGCTGAGCCCAGGCTGCTGATGGTGGTGAAGAGTACTGAGTATTCCAGGGACGGACAAAAGAACAGATAAATCTGGGGGAAATGCAGCCAGAGTGCTCCTTAAAAGCAAAGATGACAAAGCTTCATCTTTCACTGAGTCCTGTCTCCTCAGTTCAAGAAATTCTTAGCCCACAAATCCTAGGTCTAAAACACACACTCTACTCCTAGCTCTTCTTGGTAGTAGTGAATTCTTCCTAATTTGCTGCTCAGGCAGTTCATTTTAAGCCTAGTAGGATAGCAAAACAGACCATCCCCTTCATCAGTGTTCCATATACCTTAATCGCATGAGATGTATTTCACTGGGCAAGTCCGTTGTCAAGGTCCTCTCCAAAATGCTAAAGAGCAGTAATGTCAGTTTGAAGATGAAGGTGTGCTTGATTGAGGCCATGGTCCTTTTGAAAGCTAGTGAATCAGGATAGCAGAAGAAGAACCAATGCCTTTGAGTTGTGGTGGTGAAGAGTACTGAGTATCCCATGGACTGACGAAAGAACAGATAAATCTTGGGGGGGGGGAGTTCAGCCAGAGTGCTCCTTGGAAGCAAAGATAGCGAACTTCATCTTTCATGCTTATGATGTATGGCTACACGAGGTTGTTCCTTGGAAAGGGGCATCATGCTTAGAGAGCGAAAGAGAGAAAGACTCCCAACGGGATGGACTGACACGGTGACTTCAGCAGTGGGCGCTAGTGTGTTAGAAATGATGTCACTGTCCCCAAGAACGTCATGCACCTTATTTACATTATGGCCTTAGGGAGCTCCGGTGGCTTAGTGGTAAGGAGTTGTGCTGTCAACCCAAAGTCAGGAGGTTTGATTGCACTAGCTGCTCAGTGGGAGAAGGTGGATAGTCTCCTCCCATGCAATTAAACCACCTCTGGAAGCCCACTGGCGGGTCAGCTATGAGTCAGCTTTGGCTGGATGATACACAACAATAATTCGGTCCCATTGGTGGGCTGTAACACTTCACTTGTGTGATCCCGTCCAGTCATTTGGTTGGAGTTCAAAGGATTATGACTGGAAAGGTCTTAATAAGTCATTACACCACCAAGCCGAAGAATAGGAATACCCACTCCCGCACCCTCTGAGTGCCTTTCCAGAAACAAGACTAGGAAAGCAAAATTCATTACCCACACGATCTGTCATGAACTTGCCCTGTTACATAGGAAACAGTACAACCCAGGATAAAGTAATCTCGGAACCTCATTGAAGGTCTGCTACCCTTTCCTCATCTGGAATTACTTAGAAGCCGTGTGTTTAGATAGGTAATATAAAAGAAGAAAGGATATATCGTAATGTAGTTATTTTAATGGTCTTTTGAAGATATTTTTATCTTTAAGGCTATTTATAAACGATAAACATTCATTCTTTACGAATCTATAACAAGCTCATGTCGTAAAATGGAAATGATAATTTAAGTCTCCACAGTCTGCCATAGCAGAACCTCACAACCAAGACAGCCTTTTTCGCATTATTTCCCAAGGTGTCTCCGTGACAGTTTAGGAGACGTGGTGTCACAGTGGTGAAGCACTCTGCCACCTGGAAGATCCAGTGATTTGAAACTCTCTGCTCCTCTCAGGGAGAAAGATCGGGAAGTCTGCTTCCTAAAGCTCTGCAAATCCTAGGGGTGGAAGGGTGAGGGATGGGTGTCATTCTGCTCTGTCCTGTAGGATCCTTGTACATCAGAGTGGACTCAGTGGCAGTGTGTTTGTACTGGGGTTTGATATGTACATATATTGGAAGCAGGAGTGGCATCCGCTTCCTAAATAACATGCCTCCGGAAACTATGAACTTTGATAAATGTTCATAGGGTTGCTATGTGTCGTGGTCGACTCGAAGGCAATCAACAACATACACACATATGTTGTTGCTGCTGCTGTTATGTGCCCTTGTGTCAGAAACGACTCATAACTCACCGTCCAGTGGGTTTTCATAGGCTGCACATAGCATAGGAGGGAATTACCCACTTTCTCCTCCTAAGTATCTGATGGATTTGAACTGCCTGTTTTTGTATCGACAGTGCAACTTCTTACTAATCCAACAGAACTACCTTTTATGTGTGTGTGTGTATTTAATACATTCAGTATATTTATGTGTATTATAGAAATACATCTATGTTAGGTGCCATCGAGTTGCTTGCGACTCATAGTGACCCCATGTACAACAGCCCTAAATCCTCCTCAGTCCTGCACCAACCTCACTGTCTCCGACACACCTACTCCCACTACCCCAATCACTGAATTGATCCATCTCATCGAGGGTCTTCCCCTCTTGCGCTGGGTCTCCACTCTCCCAAGCATGATGTGTCCCTCTCCAAGGACTGGTCCCTCCTGGCAACATGTCCAAAGTATGTCAGATGAAGCTTCAGAATCCTTAAATATTGTTATATGTTCTTAAATGTTTTCTTGTTATATATTGCTAACATAGATAGTTTTCATTTATATTTCTCCATAAAGCAGAAATAACAGATGATTATGACCTGCCACCTCTTTTTGTAAATAAGTTTTATTGTAACACAGCTTCAGCTATTCATTAATGAATTATCTGATTATTTTTATGTTAAAACGGAAGAAGAGTAGTTGCTATAGGGACTGCTCTCTATAAAACCTAAGTATTTACTCATGACTGAGTGGCAACTGGCTTGACTTTTGGTTTGATTAGAGAAAAGTTGGCTGAACTGTGTTTAAAGGAATATTTGGAAATTGAAACATTTCTTAATAATGGCTGTCACTCTTGAATGGGTTTCATTAAGGCTGTTTTATCTTAATTTTTACCCAAAGCCCCTCCTTTTATACTAGATCATGATTTATAAGTAGATTTAATAAGAGAACATGCTGTAGTCTTCTGAATGATTGGTATCCAATTTTGAAAAGGAATCTAAGATGATTAACATTCATTATACATTAATCCATTAAGGCTGAGAAGTTACCTAACGAGGCATGTGACATGCTTTTAATTTATCTGTGCACGAGGGTTGCTCACATTTCGTCTGCGTGCTTAACTGCTGTGCCACTAGAGTAATTTTCAGTTGTTACTCTTTATAATAATTTGTATTAATTCTGATCTTTAATTTTCACAGGTACCGATATCAAATGTATTTGAGATTTTACTTGCTACAAGTCAATAAGGTTAAATGTGTAACTTGCAATGTGTCTTTCAAAAAAGCCTCATCTCTTGTGCTTAGCAGCTGTAGTTGAGTGTATTACAAATGCTCCTTTAATTATATTACTGCTAAGTTAGACATTGAGCAATAACACACGGGGCTTCACTGCTCCCTCTCACGGCCGCAGTTGACCATGACTTAACCAACGTGTGGTTGTCTTCTTTTGTTTTTTTTTAACAGACTTGTGGAAGAAAGCAAGCTGATCCCACTCATTTTTGAAGTAATTCTGGTAAGAAAGAAAATGTGCATTTGCAATTCAAAGACAGTGAAACCAAGTTCTAAGGAGTGGAGTGGCTGGGTTCTAACCCTGACTGCACCTGAAGGGTTCATCTTGTCTGATCTCAGTTTCTCAGGCCTTGAGCTCCTCATCTCTGAGGGATATCTAGATTTGACATTTTAGGAGGACACTTTTTATGACCTTTTCGTCTCACAAATAATTTACATTTTTCCCCTGTTAAACAATCTGTGTTATCTAATATGGAAAGAATACTTCCCCCCCTTGTTGTGTACCTTTGAATCAGATCTGACTGGCACAGAAGGAGATTTCCCCTCCTTCTCCAGGGAAGCATCTTGTGGATTTGAACTGCATGCCTTCGGGATTGCAGTGCAGCTTTTTGCCACGAGCGCTCCCTTGGAAAGAACACTTTGAAGTTGACTTAGAAAAGGGAACAGAGAATAGTTCTTGCTGGACTTGAGGGATGAATTTTCTAATGTTCAGTTTGACCCTTTCTGACTCTGCAGTAATTGGGGACGTGGCCACCGGTTTTATGCGTGTGGTCAGAAAGTGGGCTGCTTCAGAACTTACACTAGCTTAGCTTCTCTGCACCATTTTCCCTCATTTCAGAGAATGCAGCACAATTTATGAATGAGCAAGCGTGTCTGGGTTGATGCCCGGACTCCGGCCATAACCGCTTCATACTCAGATTTACTGTGTGATATTATTTTGAAAAGTCATCTTGATTGTGTAATCTGTGAGTGAATACATGAATAGGCGTTTAAATGAAACAGAGGAATGAAACGACTTAACGAGTGAGTATAGGTTTGTTAGAGGCTGTTTCTGCATCTGTATTTACCTTTACTGCAAATGTATCCATGACTATAGTAGAGTGTTCATAGGTTAAAGTTATGAGAAATTCTCAGCCATAACTAGTCACCTGGAGGGAATGAGTTCTGGGCCTGGGAGCTCAGGACCATGGTCGTGGGGCACTTCAAGGTCAATTAGCCCAGTATAGTCCACAAAGAAAATAGGCATTTGCGCACAGTCACTTATGAAGGAATATTTCTATACTCACATGTATGGGCCTTGGCTTCTGCCATTGAATTAATTACATACAGCTCCTAGCAATCCTGTGAAACAAAGTAGAAAACACTCCCCCCATTCACACCCATACCCTATACCCCCATGGGGTTTCCAAAGCTGTGGATCTTTTTTTTTTTTTAAAGTGGTCAAGGATTTTCTTTATTTGGCTCCCTGATAGCTGCTGAAGCAGTAATTAGTGACATTGTGGTTGTTAAAGCTGTGAACCTTTACAGAACCAGAATGCATCATCTTTCTCCCTCGAATCACCTGGTGGATCTGAACCCTCTACCTTTGAGTCCTGGCACGGAGCTTAACACAGTAGGACCAGGAGCCCCTTCCTCCGTGGCCTGGGCGTGTCATTTTACTTTGGCCCCACAGTGATTGGGGTCTTAAGAATTTGTGAGTAGCCATCTAAGATGTGACCAGTGGTTTATCTTCATTCAAAGCAAAGAATTAAAAGATAAATGGAAACAGTTGAAAAGATGAATGGACATCAGCTTCCCTGAGCTGAGGCCAGAAGAACTAGATGATAACGAGCTACACCTGGCCGACCATGCGCCAAGGAGTCTCCATAGAAGATCCTAGATAGTCGGAGGAAAGAGTGGAACAAAACTTAAAATCATTAAAAAAAAATAGGCTTAGTAATAGTGAAAGACTTAGTAAATCACCCAGTTACTGTGTAATGCCTTTTGTTGTTACATGCCATGGAGTCAGAATCGACTCACAGCTGACCCTCCAGCAGGTTTCCAAGGGCTGTTAATGGCATAGGAGGAGATTGCCCGTCTTTGACCCGTGAAGCAGCTGGTGGATTCAGTCATCTGCCTTTAGGCTGGCAATGCCCCTCCTTACCCACTAGGCCACCAGAGCACCTATTGCTCCTTTTAACCAACCGTCAAAAATAAGCAACACAGCAATATTTGACTCATGCTAGCAGTTCGCTTTGACCTCCTAGTGACTTTTTTCTTTCCTCTTTTATCTCGTTCAGCTTCTGTCTGATGGACTTCAAGCTTGATTACGGGCTTTGTAATAGTGTGGAGTCCCTCGTGTGAGGTGCTCTTACTAGCAGTATGCTGTCTATTAAGCAATTGTTTATTAAGAGAAGAGGACTATTTTGTGGAAAAGAATTGGAGGGGGCTCCTCCATCTGTCGTGCAGATAAGGAAGGTGACAGGAGCAGGATTCTGAATTTGGTGTTCTGTTTGTACCCTTTGAAAAAAAATTACGAGATGCTCTGCTGGAGAAGGAGGGACAATCTCCTCTTGTGCCAGTCAGACCCGATTTGATGGTACACACACACACACACGAAAAAAAAAAATTCATTCCCAATCTTAGGAGAACCAGTTATTTCTGGAATTGTAGAACTGAGTGTTCCAAACATGGTTTCAAATTGGTTAAAGAACTGAATACTTTATTGTAAGATCCACTTTCTGCTGGTTTACCCAAGAGACACATCGCTCTTCCCAGCCACGATGCTAATGTCCGGGCCTGAGATTCACAGGAAGGAGAGTAGAGCAGTGGGTAAGGCACTCATGGCCCAGCGGATGGGAGGAGCTGTCATGTTGGAAGGTGTAGAACCTGAGCACAGCACTTACGACGTGATTGGTACTGAACAGTGGAAGGTGGGACTCCCACGGAAGAAGTGACCTTTGTGCAGGGCCTTTGAGGGAGATGAAGGAGCTTTCGTGGGGGTCAAGTGTTACATGTTAGAGGTGAGAATTCTAGCTTTGGACTTGAAATGGTGCTTTTTCAGACGTGCCCAGGTCAGCGTGTGGAGAAATGGTAGTGAGGCTGAAGGGTGGCTTTGAATCAGCTCCTGCAATGCTTTATATGAGATTTTTTTTGTTTTATGAATAATTTATGGTCTTTCAGACCACTATATATTCATTTCATCTTCTAGTTTCTTTGCTGCTGGATTATGTGGCGGGAGAAGGTGGACTGATCATCCAAGGTATGATCAGACTAGGAGAGACCCAAGTTTAAGGCCGTGTTGTTGTGCTGGGCTCTAGGAAGTAAGTGCTCCTGCTAATCTTCAATATGGCTTGAAGCACATCATCCAGAAAACAAAGATTCTCCCCACTGGGCTGATTGGCAGCACCATGATAGATGGGAAGATTGAGATTGTTAACAGTTACCGCTTACTTGGCTTCACAACCAACATTTGTCACCAGCAGTCAGAAAATCAAAAGCTGAATTGTACTGGGAAAATCTGCTGTCAGGGACTTATACAGAATCCTGAAAAGCAACAATGTCAGTCTAGAGACTAAGGTGCACGTGAGCCAGGCCATGGTCTTTGCAATTACTTGCTATGCATCAGATGCATATGATTAGGGATGACAGAAGAAGAATCGATGCCTTTGAGCTGTGGTGCTGGAGAAGAAGCTTGAACATACCATGGCCTGCCAAGAAAATCTGTCTTAGGGTGAAACCAAGCTTCTCCTTGGAGACTAGGATTTGGAAGCTCTGTCTTACATGCTTTGGGCATGTGAGCAGGAGGGACCAGTCCTAGGAGGAGGACATCATGCTTGGATGGGTGGAATGTCGGTGCAGGAGAGAAAGGCCCTGGATGAGATGGATTGACGCAGTTACTGGGGCAGTGAGGATAAGAGTGCCACAGTCAGGGAGACTGGCACAGAATAGGGCAGGCTTCAGAGAGGATTGTTGTGAGTTGCAGGCAACTTGATGGCACATAACAACAACAACATCAGTCACTCTTGTCCATATATAGTAACTTATGAGTAGTAATTGACTTGATGACACCGAACAACAGCAATAAGAGAGAACCAGAGACAGGTTTGAAGCTGGGATCTGGGAATTCCCTACAAGTCTCCATTAGCAAGAGAGGTTTAGACTGGCCCAAAGGGACATGGGAGAAGGGAATAGAAGAGACGGGGCGCTTCTTCCCTAACAGGGCCCTTCTAGATGAAAGTGTATGTTACCTTTTGTGCATAAGACAGTAGTGTTGAGCCAGGAGTGGAGGCTCAACATAGACAAAGTCCCCAGTGTGAACAGCGTGTGTCCCGTGGTGGTCTGGACTGACTGAATACGTGCAGATTCCTAAGGGCATGTGCCATTCAGAGAGCCTGACACCTTGACTCTTGAGTGCAGAGTTGTCGGTTGATCGTGATGGAAGATTCCCTCCCCCCCACACACACACTTTTTTCACCTTCCCAGGAGTCGGACTTGCTTTAAATGTGTCTTAAGAATGAATTTAGGAGGATCAGCCTTTGGATTTCGCTATAACTCTAATCTCTCTTCATTTTATTTCAGTGGTTTATGCCTCGGCCTACTTCAGTAAATCATTTTAACACCAAGTAATATAGGCAAATCTCTTTTTTATTGCGGGTGAAAAAAAATATCTTTATTCATGGCAGATTTTCCAATATGTTGCCAAAATATTGCTGTCATGATATTTTATGTGTCTGTTCCAAAACAAACAATTGAGGAGCAATTTCAGTGGCAAATGTTAACAATAAAAATGGGATTAGCAATACGCCAGTGTGACAATTATATTGTTTTAACAATTCTGGAGGAGAGCCGTTGAATCTGACTTTAATAAATCTTTCACGACGACTGTATCTTCAGCAAAAGGGTGTCTTTATAGGCCCGGGAGCCTAGAGGATTTAATCACAGACCCAGGGTCGTGTAGACTGACAGCTGCGCATTGCATTCAGAAAGTGTGTTCATCCCGGTGCATCCATCAGCCTCTTAACATTCCTTTGCTCCAACTCCAGTTGCAGCCCAGCTAATGTGAACTGGTGCTCAGGGCGTGTTAAAACGGCCGGTTCTTTTTCCTTTTTTAGAATCTGCACTATTATGTCCCATATGCAGTTAACAAGAGTGTGCTATGCATGTGGAAGAGGGATATACAACCATTGAAAATAGAAAATATGATTTGGTTAAAATGTCACGGTACTTGACCGAGGAAGGCAC